ATGTGCACCATGCCCGGGAGGGGCACGGCACCAAAGCGTGCTCTCGCAGCTCTGGGGCCGCGGTCCAGGCTAGGGCAACCCAGGGCCACGCTCCCTCCAGAGGCTCCAGGGCGCGACCCTTCCCGTCCCTTCCAGCCTCTGGAGGCCCAGGTGGCTCTGACGGCTCCTGGCACCATCTCTCTCACTTCTGCCTCTGTGTTCACATCTCAGCCAGCTCCCCTCTGTATCAGGATCCACGCTAATGATCTAAACCAATTACACACAATGACCCTGCTTCCAGATGAGGTCATGTGGAGAGATACGGGGAGTTATGGCTTCAACATACCTTTTCCGAGGACACGGTCCAACTCGTGACACTATGTTACAATAAGACGTTCATTAGACACTCAAAAAGCCTAAGGAAGCTCTTTGTGTATGGGTTTGGAAAGAGCTCCCAGAGGCAGAGTAACAGAATTCAAGGGGAGCACGCATGCAGTCAACAGGTGCATGTGTGGCTGTGTGTAGTAAGGGAGAATAGATTCTCTTATTTGCTCATATCTGTAAAAAGAAACTTAAAAGGACTCACGAGAAACTACTATTCAACCATGTGAACTAATAAACGGCAGTCAAAGGAGGACTGTTGCTGTCAGACCTGAGGTTGCAGTTTTCAGTCCATTCTCAGCAACATGGAACCGCCTCTCTGCCTGCACATCCTACCCCGCCACCTGGGCTCTGTTCCCAATCGCCCCCCTTCCCCCTCTCCCCCGCTTTGGTTGAAGAGCCCGGCTCTCGTTCCGGGAATCTGGCCCGCAGCTGGCCCACTCAGCTTGCATTAGGTCATGGAAAGTTTAGCAGGAAAGATCCAGACGCAGGTTGTCACAATGAGGATGAATGGGACCCGCAGATCCCAGCAACACACCATCCCCGCACCAACAAGACATCACCACGATGGTTTCCCACAGAGTGGCGGAAAACCACCAGGCAGGTGAAATCACGGTTTGGAGAAGGCCTTTTTGGGACAAACGCTTTTATTAGACATTTTAGGAGCCTCAGAAATGATCCAACACAAGTACTGCAGGTCATCACAAGAACATGCCTTTTTAAAGGCAACAGTCCTGTCGGCCAAGATGTCCCCTGCAGCATTTGTTACACTAGTGATGCGACACCTCCTTGTCTCCTCACCAGGACTGTCCGGCTGTGTTGAGGGTCTGGATGCAGGGGCAGGACCCCCCGGGACCTCCGGAGCACACGGTCCTCTCGGGAGTACAGGCACCTCATTTTATGGCACCTTGGTTTGCTGAGCTTGAAGCTACTGCATCTTTTATACCTGGAAGGCCTGTGGTGGCCACACCATTCCCCACCAGCGTGTGCCCACTTCATGTCTGTGCCACATGCTGGGCATTCTCATAATATTTCAAACTTTTCCATGGTGCTGTCGCACATGTCATAGACAAGTCTATGGAAACATACCTTGCACCTGCATGTGGCTGGCTGCACTGCAGTATTTGCTTTACTACAATAGTCTGGAGTGGAGGGGCAGTACCCCGCGGTGTGCCTGTGGGCCGCGTCATCGCCGTGAACAACAGAGGAAGAAACCACAACCTCACCATCAAGTCAAATCATCTTTGCTGTCCCGCGGCTGCCCCACCTGGATTGTGCAGGCTCCTCCCTCTGTGGTCCAGGAAGGATGGCAGTGAGTCACCGGCCCGCCAGCCGGGCTGCCTGCCCGAGGTTGCATGAGTCCATCCACTGTGTGGGAGCGAGAGCGGACTGGTGGGTGCAGCCTTGGAACCTTCAGGAGGGGCATCCAACACCCCATATTCCATCTCCAGGCAGAGGCTGCTGGGAGTTCAGAAGGACACGGAGGTCGCAGCACGGACTTGCCTCCCTCGGAGGGCTTACAGCCACACTGCCCTTGCTGTGAAGTCCTGGGTGTTCCACTTTCGCAGGGTGTTTAGTGCCACCATTGCTGACCGTTAGGTTCAGCAGGCTCGGTTCCAGTCCACGGCAATGAAGGAAATTCCACAGTAAGACCAATCTTGCAGGTTTTTGCTTTCCCCATGCATGTAAGTCATGTTTACACACAGCATGAAGAGCTTGGAAATAGTACACAAATGACCAACATGGGACACAGACACACGAAGTGGGCACACGCTGTTCCAACAACGCACCAACAGACTTGGTCAACGCAGGGTTGCCACAACCTTCAGGCCGTAAGACACATGTCTGTGGACTGCAGCACCTGATCTGTGGACCCCACCATGTTTCTTTCTGGGTAAACTACACGCAAACTGGCTTTCAGGAGCTGGCGGGTGTTCACCTGGCATGGTCCACATAAACAGCGCATCTCCGATGATGTGCTGGACTCGGCCCAACGCACAGGGCCCCTGGTGCTCTCCGGCCACCTCCAGAGCCGTCTACCATGCCCCCCACGGGGCCCTCACCCGCGGCATGCCTCGCCTCAAATCAAAGTGTCAACACATGAAACAGTCTGGCCGGCTCCCTAAGGACTCCACAGACAGACCCCCAAACATTCTATGAAAACTCAGCCTGTGGCTTCTCTTCACAGGGAAACGTGGCTGCTACCTCTGGACGCAGTCATTCCACAGCAAGAGGAAAATGATCCCACTCCCAAATCATTCATGCCCCCAAGGCGCTCTTCCTTCCGGTTAATAGGCCTTTCCTTCACCGTGGAAAATGACACAGCAAAACAGCGGCGCAAAACAGCGGCACTGCAGGCAAAATCCCAAACCGCAGAAGCTGCCAACGGAGGGTGAGTTAGTCCCGGCAGGAACCGGTCCCTTCCACAACCGACACAGAGGCCTGAAGTCGTGGCCATGCGAAGGACAACCAGCAAGCTAGCTTCCTCACGCCAAAGGCTACAAAGTCGAGAGGAGTGACGAGTCGGGACACGACTACTTAGGAGTAAAGAGCTAGCCCGCTCATACGGAGATGACACTTACCATTCAACGAGAAACTCAGTGGCAAAAAACAGGTGGACAGGACAGGGCCATCAAGGACCCACAAACGCACCTTTAAACGCAAGCTGCTCTCTTGTCCTCACAAAGGAAATGAAATTGAAATGAGAGCTCTGTTCCTGACTGGCAGAGATGGAGTCGTCTGCAGACCCTGGCTGGGGAGGGTGTGGGGCCCTTTCTGGAGGGCACCTTGCCACTGTGACAGTGAGAATCTGGTCTCCTGCTCCTGGGGAGGCACTCTGCAGTGTGTGTGGAGATGAGACCTGTGGGGCGTTTCCGGTGCCTGGTCCATGGAAGCACACTGCAGGCCCCAGCAGCCATTGCTGGCTGCAGGGACTCTAATCCCAGTGTGAGCCCCTGGCAGGAGGCAGAGCAGCCCTCCGGGGTTAGGTGCTTGGAGAGACTGCTGCACAGATGGCTAGGGCTGTTGGAGAGACTGAGGCCCTGTTTCACAGATGAACACGTGAAAAGGAAGACTCAGTGTCATGTGCAGGTGTTTGTGGGTGAGAAGGGCTGTGGGGTGTGTCCAAATGCACATGGGTGGGGTCGGTGCAAAGTGTGGGCATGTGTGGGTGAAGAGGTGTGTGGGTTGGCTTGTACAAAGCATGTGGGCATTTGTGTGGGTGAAGAGGTGTGTGGGTGTGTTCCTACATACTTGTATGTGGGTGGGCTTGGTGCAGAGTATGGGCGTTTGTGTGGGAGAAGCGGTGTGTGGGTGTGTATCCACAGGAATGCCCACATGGGTGCATGCTGCATTTGGAGGGAGCAGGGGGGCTGTGCCCCTCACTCTGCTCCTTCACTCCAACTGGGCATGTGGTCACTCCTGGGGCCAAGCAGTGTATTCTCCGTGCTGGGCGTCCATGGGAAGGATCAATTCACAGAAAAGAAGAAATCAAGACCCTGCTTTGGTAAAGTGACTGGACAAAGAATGATGGCACTGGCCTGCAAGGGGTTCCGTTAGCCAAGGAGCTCTCTTCTGCGGGCCGAGCCAGCTGGTGTCACCTGTGGTGTTTACAGAGGATTCTGGCAGAACTGGCGTTGCAGGCGCCCTTCAGGTGTGAGTGCTACGGAACCCAGAGGCTGCAGTGGCCTGTGCTCCCGAGCCACGTGGCAGAGCTGCGTGTCCAACACAGGACATCACGTGGGAGGGAGCAGCAAAGCTCCCGGGGCAGACCGTGAGCCTCAGAGACAGCAGCGCACCAGGACCTGGAATCGCCTGAACGGCAGCCAACACAGATTAGCCGGAGTTTCTGGGGTGCAAAAGAAAGAAACCAGCATAAACAACTTCATCCAAAGGCCTGTCCTCAGCCGACATGACCCGGGAGGAGCAAAGCCAGCCTCAGCAATGGCTGGATCCAGGTGCTGCGTGCTGCCCTCCTGCTGTGCCCCCCACTGGCCCACAGGTCACTGTAAGCAGCTCGCTCACGCCGTGCAGCACGGCAGAGCCAGGCAGAGGCCAAGAGAGAGCCTCTCCCTACGCGAGCGGGGACTGAGCCCCTCACGTGACGATCCCTACAGGGTGAGGGGATGGAGGGCCGGGCTGGCAAGTGGGATGCAGGCAGAGAGGAGGGGGCAGGAGGACCCCATGAAGGCCGGTCGAGCAGGCAGGCCCCGTGGCCACTGTACACTTCCACTGTTGCAACAGACGTATCAGATCTGGAAGATGGGTGGCAGCAGGTGTCAGAGTTACAGACGGGTAGGAAGGACTGCCCCAGGACTAGCTAGAAAAGGCATCTTCCTCTCGTTTTATTTGATACATTTTCACAGAAACATGGTATTATTTACAAATATACAGGTAAGAGACTGCTGGTCAAAAATCTTAAACTGAAAATGTCATCAAAAACTAATTTACAAAAGCCACCACTTGTCCGAGGGAGCCAGGGTGGAATGTCGGGCGGTTTCTGTGATGATCGGGACAGAAGCAAGCATCTCGGCTTCTCTGGTTCTGTCACCTCAGACGTCACAGACCACAGACACGTCCAGGCCGGCCCTGGCGGCGGGCGGGCAGGTGCTGAGGGACTGCCACACGGCCGGCCCACGGGCTCAGGAGGCGCTGGTCTGCAGGTTTTTGGAAGCCGCAAGCATTGCTCTCACTTTGGCCATAAGGTCCTGTTCGAGGCAAGAGGACACGGATGAGGCCTGAGAGCCAAGAGCAACCTCACCAAGACCCAAACTCACGGGAGACGACTTGGGGCAGTGTCGGCGGTGAAGGCACTCAGACGTGCCCCCTCCAGCCCTGGGACAGCAGGGAGGAGGCGAAGGCCCCTTCATGCCACTGTGAGCTGCAACCAGGATGGGCTGCCCCGAGCCCAGTCCCCTCACGGTCCAGCCCCAAGGTCTAGTGGGTGGGCGGCATCTCAGAGCCGGGAGGAGAAGAGGCGAACCGCCCTGTGCAGCGCCAGCCACGTCACAGAGCCCAGGCCCAGAGCAGTGGCCACTGGGGCTGTACCTCCTCTGGGGCCCCGACCACACTGCTGGCCCCCTGGGGGGTGGCTCCACCCAGGACCCCACACGAACCCACAAAGCGAGAGCCTGTGGGAGCAGCGCCGTCGGGGGACCAGGCCTCTCCCTAAAAGAGCCTCACCTGAGTTATTTTGCTTTGCACGGAGGAGACAATGGCGGACGAGATCTGACCGTCTTTTTCCTGAGAGACTCCCCTAAAGCAAAGACAGCCAGAGGTGTGAAAACCGTGAGAAACTCCACACGGTGTGAAAACACAGAACACAGCCAAGACAGACCCCACACACCCGTGTTCCCAGGAAATAACATTGTAAACAGACCCACACACCTCTGCTCCCTGGAAATAACAACACTGTAAATGTGTCTCCTGCTTGGACTTTGGTGACATAGATTTTCACCTTTTTATAAAGTACAACCTAACTCAGAACATATTTTTACATAAACACTACATGAAACACATTTAAAACAGGGCAGTCCGAGGCTGACGCCCCCCCTGCCGCCTGGGGTATCTGTGCCGAGGGGTGGCTCCGTAGGACACTGCGCACACGCCCTGTGGCTGGGGGCTTTCCCCCGCTCTGACGCGACGCCACTGAGTCTGACAGCTCTTCCATCAGCACGTGACCCCACGTGTCCGAGCAGCAGCACCTCACATGAGTCTCTGCTGCTGTCTCCAGATAACACTCCGTGGCCCTGCCCAGCCTGGGTCGGGGCAGCTGGAAGGGTTGCCCTGGGTGAAATCGGGGCGATCAGGTGGTCAGGGATCTGACAGCAGATCTGAGCGACGCTGACCCGGAGCCCATCTGTGACCCTGGGGGACAGCCTGTGTCTGGGTTCTGATAATCACTTTGGCCTTGATATCCCGTGTCCCGGTCCAGCGGGGCACTGCAACTGTGTCCAGGGCCCCCTGTACCCCTGGGGTAAGGGCAGCCTCAGCAGCAGGGACTAAGCCTCGGCGCAAACCAAGACCCGGTCCTGTGACAGCCAGAGATGGTTAACATGGCACCAGTCACCTGTTGCTGGGCGCTGTGCACTGGCCCTCCGTGGAGTGGCCCTAGGGGGTGCCTCTCACTCCAGTGCCTCACAGGAGAGGTTCACAGGGACCTGTGAGTGGTGGCCCCCTCTCACCCGGCAGTGAGGGGCCCTTGGTTACCTGGAGCGCTCCTGGCTGGACCCCCGGCTCTCCACAGGAGAGACACTGGCTGATCGCGCTGCTGTCCTATGTGCAGACTGCTTGCTGGGGGATGCCGACTGAGACCTGGCCTTGGACTTGGTCCGTGACCGTGACCGCCTCTTCTTTTTCTTCTCGTGGGGGCTCCTGGGGGAGAAACAGTCATTAGTGAAACAGATGAATGACTGGGAGACAAAGGCGCAGGAAGGAACGAGCTGCCTGAGTCTGGGAGAACTCGCAGAGATGGCTTTCCAGGGCTCAGCCTGTCTCTTCACCTCTCTGGACACACTAACTCCTCTTAGGAGAGTGATTTATGTTTTATTTCACGAATAATCAACAGATTCAGCTAAACACACGAAGAGCCTAATAAGCCACCCCGAGAGAAATGAAAGCCACCTTATCCACTGTGTGGAAGGAAGCGTGCGGCCCCTTTCCCACATCTGTCTGTCCTCCAGCAAGAGGCTGTGCCGTGAGGACAGACCAGCATTCCACGCACACTTCAGACATGTAATGAGACTGACAGCCAAGTGCTGCTGTACTGCCTTCACTGATGCAGATTCTGCGAGAACTTCCACAGACAAGATGGGAAACGACTGAAAGCATTTACACACGTGGAAGCCGACAGCTGCTTTTTGCCCAGTGGCCTGATCTCAGGACCGCTGAGCACCTGGCATTCCACAGGAAAGGCTGAGGAGCCTGCCCTCCTCAGGTCTTCCAATTCAATGCCTCCCAAACCCACGGGACAGCCTGAGTCCACGCCACCCCTACTTCCCACATGGCAGCCAGGGTCCACGCCACCCCTACCCTCCCCTGGGACAGCCTGAGTCCACGCCACCCCCACCCCCCCACAGGACAGCCCGAGTCCACACCGCCCCTACTTCCCACATGGCAGCCAGGGTCCACGCCACCCCTACCCGCCCATGCGACAGCCCGAGTCCACGCCACCCCTACTTCCCACATAGCAGCCAGGGTCCACGCCACCCCTACCCCCCACAGGACAGCGCGAGTCCACGCCACCCCTATTCTAGCACTCCAGGTGGAACACTTTTTCTTCGAGTAAGAGAAATGCCCCATTCAGAGAGGTGCTCCGACCCTGCCCCACCCTGGCCTCAGGCTGCTCCTCAGAGAGGACACCCAGACCAGTGTCCTGCTTTATGGGTTGCATCCCTTTTTTCACTCAACACGAGTGGGAAGCACTGGAGCCCACAGAGCCACGCCCCAAACCTGGCAGGGTTTACGTGGCCCCCATGTGAGTTCATTAAAGGCAGGCACCCGGGGGTAGTGGAACTACAACCTAACCTCACAGGACGAAGCCTGCTAAGCATGTGCTGAAGGAGCAGGCTAAGTCATCAGCTTTTCTTAATGGACGCACCCTGTCTGTCTGCCGGGTTCTGACAGCTGCATACACTGAACCCCAGACCCTCAGCCTGACAGGACACCCCACCATTCCGAAGTCCCTCAGTGCTGCTTTGAGCCCTCCGTCCCCTCCCCCACACAGCTGACCGTCTCTACGGCCCTCCATCCCCTTCCCCCGCACACAGGTGACCGTCTCTACGGCCCTCCGTCCCCTCCCCCACACAGGTGACCGTCTCTACGGCCCTCCGTCCCCTCCCCCACACAGCTGACTGTCTCTACGGCCCTCCGTCCCCTTCCCCGCACACAGGTGACCGTCTCTACGGCCCTCCGTACCCTCCCCCACACAGGTGACCGTCTCTACGGCCCTCCGTCCCCTCCCCCACACAGGTGACCGTCTCTACGGCCCTCCGTCCCCCTCCCCTGCACACAGGTGACCGTCTCTACGGCCCTCCG